TGATAAATATAATACATATCAGCGGTGTCGAATTAAATAGCTCAATGTAATGGGAATCGTTTAAATATGAATTAATTGATGATAAGTTAGAAATTTTTGGGGGACTGGGACAAATTTATTTTTGATACCAACTGTAATTTTCTCTGGATCAAATCTCGTTTTTAAAATGTACATAAAATATTATTGTCAAATTAAATTTATTAAAATGCATGCTACATTCCCGCTCTTTTTCTCGATGTGCATAATTTTATCAAACGATTGATTGAAAAATAAATTTCATTTGACTTCAGAAAGTAGCAGCGCCTTGGGTGTTATCGATGCTGGCTTCGTTGTACTGGCGGGTTGTTGGGAAGCCTCGTAACGCACTAGATTGTCTTCAACTAGCGCTCGATACCGTGCCCAACAAATTCAAGGATGTACCGCTGATTAGCATTGCCTCAATCAGTCACAAATTTAGTGTGATTGACAATGCACTGTTTGTCACCGAAGAAGCCTTTAGGATTAATCCTGTTGAAGTAAGTTACATTCAATATAATTCGATTACTTTATTTTTAATAACATTGATAATAACTTACAATGGTTCCATGTGCACGATAAGAAAATTTCATTGGTCTTACAAAAATACAACCATTTAATAATCTTAGTTGACAAAAATAATTCTTAGTGTGGTATTAAAGTAGACATTTTTAAAATAATACAAAGTAATGCAATTAAGTAACATATTTAGTATCAATTCAAAGTAATCGAAATAGGTTTTTTTTCAATCATTAATTTTCTGTGAGTTATAATTAAACATCATATTGTGTTAAAAAATATACGATAATCACATTTTTTAATCCAACTGATTTTTCTATTTTTAACAACTGTTTATAGCTGATACATTATTAAAAAAAATCATTTTAGAGTAAAGTATTAAAGAGTAAAGTAGTAAATTATTAAAAAAATAATCTCTTAAAAAAAATTAAGATCAACTTATGATTTAACGAATACATTTTCTAACAGTTTCTAATATTTAGAAATACAAATAGGTTAATTTAGTTTTTAAGTATATATTTGTATGATTATGAAACTTTTTTTGTTCGTGACGACGGCGAGGACGACGGGTAGTGTGATAAAATAGCCTTTTTTTATATAGTTAATAGACAACAGCTGCAAAATACTTTCATAATACAAATACTTATAAATGTAATTCTTGATCATTGCGGTGCATAGAGCTAATTACAAAAGTCTGCTTTGATAAGTATTTATTAAAGTTAAGTGGGTAAATTATTAAATTAGAAAAACTTTTTTGTCGAAACAATATTATTTACCATTGAAATTAAGTACGAATTATCTTTTTGCCAAATTAATTTTACCACCTTTTTTTCTGCCAATTATATTGTCACGAGTTTTTCAAAAATATCGAACAACCCTATATCGTAACTATTTTCTATATGTGAGTTGGATTGGAGGGGATAAAAAAGTTGATTGAAGCGTTCATGGTGGCCAAAATATTGTTAGTTTTCGGAACACAGAAGCCTAAATTCCAGTTAGTGTACTTACGATTGATCTTTTTCGCCTAGATCTTAAAACTTGACATTATTTTGACATATTACATGCGTAAAAGTTATAGATTAATAAATAAGGAATTCCTGTAATTGTATTTGATAAAACAACTCGTAATAGTAGTAATATTATAAATTATAAGCGATTATGATATAGTAAAAGGAATAAAATAACACGTTGCATTCTCTTTATCATCTGCAGTGCAAGTTTAGTGCATGTTAGTTGAAAGACCTGCAGGCATTTTCATGGTTGCATAAATAATCATGTATAAAATTACAATTACTGAATACACCATCGTCAAAAATGTCTCTATAAACTCCTTGTTTACTTATCTATAACTTTCACCGATACTGTTAGTCAGAATTATGCTTTGACTTTAAGATTTTCGTGATAAGACTACTTTATACTTACTAGTTATGTCAGGTTATATCACAAGCGCTTCGCGTGCCTTAATTGTTTTGTTACTCGATTTGATTTAGATTTACGAATATTTTTCTATTTCGTTATTAAATTTTAAAACACAACCAACCAAAATAACTTTCTTGCATTTTCTATCATGTAAAAAGCTAATAGTGTATCTAACTCCAGATGATCGTAACAACGCAGATTAATTTTCTTTCAATTATGACTTCAATTTAACGAAATTGATATTTAAAATAATTTTTCTCAGTTAACCATTTGATCTATTTAAATCTAAAAATATNAAAAAACGATGTAGTGGTAGAACCGTATTTTTGATTGCCTGAGCCGATAATTTCGAGGTTAAATATAGACACGCGTCGACTCTGATGTTAATACATACGTGTCAAGTATATTTATGCATGTGCCCATGCTATTCTATACTTGATGCATATTTATTATGTATACATAGTACACTGTACACTCAGCTACTAGTTTAGTTAGATTTTTTTTCTTATATTGATTTTCTTTTTTTTTTTCACCTGAACACAGTAAACAACAGTGACAGTATTATTTTTCAATAATTGAATTTTTACAGCAATAAACAGATGAATTGATATTTTTTGATCGAAAAGTTTCTGTTTCGGATTTTTTGGCTTATTTCACACAAAAAAAAATTCTTGTAAAATTTTTGGAAACTTATTAATTTTCGTCATAAGAAATTTCAAACAAGTTCAAACAAGTGCGTTTTTTAAATAATTTTCAACCACGTAAGTAGTAGTTAGCGATCACTGCATTTCTTACAATTTGCCAGAACTCAAATTTTACCCTACAGTGTGTACTTTCAGATAAAAAAAGATTTATGATCGTTTACTCTCACACACTTACGGTATTGTTGACCGACGCATAGTAATTTTTATTACCTTCACGTTCCATATAATATATACCTGTATACACCTCATATACAAGTATAGGCTTTCGTATATACTAGGTACAAAAACGACCATGCCTTGATCAACAATGCCGTACTCCTCTAGCAATAAACGATCATGAATCTTTTTTTTATCTAGAAGCATAAACCCTGTAGAGGAACATATATTATAATGCTGTACTCGACCATACGTGGTTGAAAATTAGAAAACATGCATTTTTTCAAATTTCAAGAATTTTTTACGCGATAGCTAAATTTACTAAAGTTCTACGAAAGGTCTCTTTTTATGAAAAATTAGCCAAAGGATCCAAAAAAAATTTTTTTCGTGCCAAAGATATTAATTTTTTTATGCAAATTATTAATGTATAATAATTTATGATTAAAAATGTCAAGGCAATCCTTATTATTTACCATGTGCAAGTAAATAATATATAAGTTTCAGAAGTTTTACTTGAAAAAGGCTGTTTTAAATTTTATGCTGAATCTTGCAATTATTTGACTGGAACATTCTTTTTCTTCGATGTGATTAATTAAATTTAAAACAATCAGATTGTGGCATAAAAATGAGTTGTATGCTTACAAAATTTTTGCTTGAAAATTAAGATATAATTTTACATACAAACTACAATGCATACAATTCATACATGTTATATTTAAAACTTATTTTACATTAAAAATGGACGACCTTATTTGTGCTTACGCTTATTGCTCTGAGAGAAAAATAATTCAGTTCTACAATAAATCATACACTGAACGATAAGCGTTTGTTGCGTATCCAATGTACATTAAACTTTATTATGAGCATTGAAACAACAGTAAAATTTAGTTCTATCAATTCGCAACGGATAATATTTTGACGTTTTAGAACGTATTCATGAATGTTAATTATTAAACATCTATGCTCACTCAAAATCCACTAAGTGATCTTACTAACTACATCAGCTTCACTTTGTTTCAGTTACAAATTTGACAAATGAGACAAACGTTATTTTCATCTTAATTAAATGAAAAATGTACTTGAAACCACTATCACTTCATTAGAATTTTTTCAGAATAGACTGTTCTCATTTAGATATCAACGACTGATATAAAATATGATCTTCTTTAAAATTTTTGGAAAAAGTATACTCAACAAGCGAATAAATTTATGCAAAGCATTACGTCATATCACATGCAGTGAAAATTCTGGTAAAATGTTTGTCTCTTATGAAAATTGCCTGAATGTAAACTGTCAGCTTTGATGTTAAAACCCAAAGCTACCAACAAAATTTGAACCAGCTTAGATAATAACTACTTCAGTTCGTCAAAAAACTTGTTTACGTTCACACACACATATATGTATATACGTACATCATATGACCATCTTGAATCACTCTGAGACTTGATTCAAAATGTTTTTTATATTTAAAATATATTATTTATATAATTAAGTTATCATACTTTTGGCTCTGACAAAAATTTAAGGCACTTTAATATATTGGTTGTGCCTGAGAATCAGTTAAAGAAGCTATACTGAGGGAACTCTTCTTTTAAAAACCTTTTTTTTAATGGTAGCATTTGATTGCAAAAATGAGAACTACTTGGATTCTTCCTCCAATATAAAAGCAACTTTACCAAGACACTTTGTTTTTTCATCTTTTTTTACCTTTAAGAGAACTACAAAGATGACTTTGAAAAGAAACAAGAGGCGAAATGTAAAACACTGTGTCTTGCATGTAAGGCACGACCAATCTAAAAGGTGCCAGAGCAAAAAGTGTTTGAATGATAGGATTGAATTTTAATATTATCCCGTTATCATATTCAACTAAACATTATTATAAATATGCTAACTTTAACAAAAAAGTGTATTTTTAAAAGATCTACTATTTTTTTGTTAACCATTTTGTCTAAAAATGTGCTGTTTAGGAATTAGACGGTGTAAGATGATTTTTTGGCTATTTTGAAACGATTTTTGCCAATTAAATCGTTAAGACGGCACTTCAGAGAAAAACTTACTGCACAAAAAAAATTTCATTTTAATGAGCACTAAAACTTTTGTATTTAACATTTTGTTGTAGAATTACAATTTATTTCTGTAAAAAGGCAACAAAACGTTTTTTTCGCAGTTTTCGCATACAATGTGCTCTATAGAGCGTATTCCGGATCAATTGAGTATTTTTTTTAAAGTGAAATATGTGAAAGTTTTTCTGTTTTATATGTGTGGTTAAATGAGAAAAATGCGTTTGAATGTAAATGCCGAGCGTTGTCATGTTAAAAAGATGTTGTTGATTTTGGTTAAAAAAAGACGTTCAATTGGCGACCAACTACAATGACATTTTGTTCGTTAACAATAAATTTTCTCTTTATTCGATATTTTTCTAAAGACATTTCCTTCTTCGCACGAAGCTGATTTTGTCAGTTACAGAGCGTCTGCATTGCGATTTAGAGCAAAGTGTTTAATACAATAAAACTGCATTTTATACGAGATTCACAACTCTAGTCTTTTAACGTGAACGTGGGAAATGTATGTTAAAAAAGTTATCGCTGAAGAACCATGAACAAAATCTCAGCCCATTTGGATCATTATTGCTTGAGTTAGTCGAAAAACTTGATGACGTACACACATACTTCTACACGTACCATGTGACTAACTCAGATCACCCTCATATTAGGTTCAATATTTGTTTTATATTGCAAATAGACGATTTATAAGTGGTTACACTTTTTGCTCTGACAAAATTATAAGGCACTCCTATACGTTGGTCAAGCCTAAAAACTGTTCCACAGCAGTTTATATTTTTTAGCAATCATGATACGTTACTTTCAACTATTCTGGTGTAATCTTAATTTTTAATATAATATCTAAATATGTCACCGAGTCGTTTAAATTGATTTTTAGTTACGTGTCGTATTTTTATTACAACGAAGGTTCTTCTCTAATTTCGTCGAAATACTAACACGGCTATCAATACTTGATGCATTTTTTAATAGTTTAGTAAAATTTATTTGCAATAAATATTATTACTTTGCTAACTCAGTGCATAAAAATTTTGTTACAGCTGAGCTCGTGTTTAAGTAATTTTCTCGACACCATCTAGAAATCAATAGTTTAGTTATTTTCGAACTGTATGAATTTTTCGTTCTGTCCTTGAAAACCTTATCCCTAGATATATAGTTTTAAAATAATGTCAAATACAAAGTTACATTTAAAATTATGTATTGATTGATTGTGTTTTATTTTTAGCCTGAAACTGTTTTTCAAATGAAAAGGCCATACGATTTAATTTCATTTATGGATCAAGAAGTTAGGCGGGATTCTATAGAACAACTGGTGAAGAGTATGCAAACCAGACGGGCCAAGATAGATGATCAGTTTTACAGTTTGCATAGCACAAAAGATGTAGAAGATGGCATAAAGATGACTGATTCTGATTGCTTGTTACGAGGACATTATGACGCCGAACTGGATTTCCATTACAGTACAGTGATAAATGTTGGACGCAGAGAAGGGATAAGGTAAAAATAATTTTTATTCATGAAACTTAATAGTTTTTATCTAAGATAGGGTATAAGTTACATACGCAGCGACAAATCTGTGATGCTCAATAGTTACCGTGTTGACATTTTTTGTGCTAATAATTAAGTACTCAGTTAATTTAGTAAAGCAAATACAAAACATTTATTGAAACGTAAAATCAAATGAGATATTGAGCTAAAACAAAAGCGTAATACAAATCATAATGTCAAAAAAAGAACAATAGATTTCTGATTTTTGAATGAATATTTTTGGTAAATAACTTTTTAGCGATGTATAGTTTTTTTCTGCAAGTAATAAAAGCCGTCTCTTCTATCGAGTTTTAGGAAAAAAATAGAAAAAACGACCTACTTTTATAAATGAGACTATATACTATAGGATGATCCTTGAGAGCTGCTTTATGTAAAACATAACTCGTAATAATTATTTAACTTTACAATTTAAAATTAAAGTAACACTTTATTTATTATTTTTTTGTTAATTGATACTTTTTTAACTTACTAAATCCCACATCAATGCATCCACGAATCACTTCACATAAGGACAAAAATTCTAATTGTCTTTTATTTACACCCCTACTAAATGCATCATTTACCTCATGTCCGTCACGCATTCCTTTTTTTAAAGACAAAAAACTATATAGTACCTATTATGATACTAAATTTTATATCTCCGTATTATCGCAAGGTATTAAGGAAGTTCTGTACGTATCATCGAAAATGCTTGGGGTCTCTAAATTTATTGTGTTTTTGATACATTCTATGTTTTACAATTAATATATGAACGTTTTTTGGGCAATCTCAGCCATGTAGTTATGAGATATCTTGAAATAAAAAATAAGCAATTTAACGTGTGATATTATGGGAAAAGTGTTATGAGCTATAAATGACATACATTATGTATAAATGAAAAAATGAAAAGAAAAAAGTATTTTAGAACAAAATACAAAAGTTTTGGGAGTTTGTAGATTAGTAAAAAATACTCCAGATGTTAATATGATTTTTTGATTAACCTCTATTTCCATACTAAATGACGAGAAAATATATATTTTGTTTACTAAGACAGAAAAATTCAGTTTTTTGCTTAGGTTAGTAATACTAATACAATCGTGCCTTGACTAGAGCTATAGCCGCGCACATTAAAATTTCATATTTACATCGAAAAGTGAGTTTATATAAATATTTCTAGATCAAAAAGAGAAAGAATTCATGATTTTCATTGAATAAATGATATTGCACAAATATTTTGGTTTATTTTTCATTTCATCTGCCAGTTTGGATGTGAAAAATTTGATTTTAACACATTTTTTATACAACAATACAAATTATAGTGATAAAACGAATTTTTTTTTTTATTGTTCGAAAATAAACACGTTCATTCATTATTTGTATACTGTCATATATTACTATGAAATTGATTTTTGAATGAAATACACTGAAGTAATGTATGTATAATTTGTTCTTTATTTTTTTTGCGTTACGCGTTTTAATCTTCCAAACACTTGCGGACATTATTTAGTCCTGTTTTTTTTTTGATAATTGTTGGAATACCGCCTACATCATAACAAACACAGATGTGAACTCAAAAACAATAACTCTGTCGGTGATCCGGCACCACTCCTCTGAAAGACAGAATCGGACCTCCTCAAAGAGGCTCATACTTTTTATAAATTAAGTACGAATGAGATAAAATTTATTTAGGTATCATTAATTAGATTTTATGGAATCAGCATGAATTTTTTCAGAATTGTTTATGCAGAAATTTTTCAATTTTCAAAACAATACAAAAATCGCATTGTAAGATTCTTATGGTTCGTTGTATTTCTTTGTACTTATACTGTTAAGAGAAAAAATAGACACAGTGTATTTGCTTTATAATATTAAATAACTAATGCACGAAAGCTTATTTAAAACGTAAACAGATAATTTATCATTAAAATGTTTTCTTCTTAATATTTTTTACGTCAGAAGTACATATTCACAACTTATTTTAAAATGAAGACAAATGAAAAGAGAGAAAAAAAAAGAACATAATTATTGGCAATTTTCAACAGATTTTTATCGCTTCAAGTTCTCGTAGCTTATTCTAAAAATTCTATTAATGCTTTTGAAAAATGAGACAAATAACAAAAACATTTTTAAGGTGGCTTGAGTTTTTGGTGCCTTACCAAGCGGGAGACCCTTTAAGTTTCTATGGATTATGAAAAATATTTTTTGTTCATTGTCATGATAATTGAATATCCAAATCACATTTTCAAATTCCAGAGTTTTATTGGCCTAAAAAATTGTAAAATATCAATAAAAAGATATTATAAAAACTCATAATTTTAATCCGTGCATGCGCAGAAGATGATACATTACTTTTCTCTAAATTTTCTTGAAATTTAAGTGGTTGACATAAAATTTTTATAGTTGTAAAAGATTGTTTATAAAAAAAGGTACAGTACCATATTTATTTATAGAGGTTTGTCATTTACTTTTAGAGTTATAGTCGATTTCGTGATAAATCCCATAAAACTGCGTATTAGTTTGGTGAGTTTTCAGTAGCGATCTTCTGGTGGTTGACCCTAGTATTTTTTTATCGCAAATTAATTAGACACACTTTCTTAACATAATTTCAAAATCTTAGAGATCATTATTATCCCGAAAATCGTCAAAGCCACCTGACAGAAAATATTTTGTTGCACTTTTGCCCTTCATTTGTATAATTCTGTTAAAAGGCTCACAGGCTGGGTGCATAATTTTCATACCAGTGTTTAGTTTTTACTTGCATCAATGAAATTATTTTGTAGAAAGCAAGTATTATTAAAATAATTTATCTTACAAGTTGAACGAAAAACAATTTTTTTCAGTGACAAAGATTTTGACTTCGAAAATGTTCCACTTGAGAAACAAGCAAGAGTTCCAGACTGCAAAAACACATTTCCACTAGACTTTAGCATGTATACATTCGAACATCTCAAAGTAAGTTAGCTTCTCGTAATTTTTAAAGACAATTTAGATTGATCTAATCTCACTATCGATTCTCTCTTTCTTATTTGTTAAGCCAATGCGAAACAGGAAAACGTTGAATCAAAAATTTGAGATAGGTTTGATAAAATACATCCCAACTTCGGTTGATTTGAATCTATTCGGTCATCAAGTTTCTCACGGTCTCATACGCAACGCAACATCATGGCTTCATCTACACTTGGCCAGTGTATATTGGAGGATAAAGGGTAATGCTCACGATGCCCTTGAGTGCTCCAGAAGAGCCATCGTCAAGGCACCGAGGTGAGGAAAAAAAAAAAAAAAAATCAATCACATGCTGTGGTTTGAAAACGCTTTTACACCGAAATCCCAAAAATTCCACAGACGATACCGCGACATACCTCTACAGACCACCGGTGGTATTTTTCATGCGGCCAATTACTCCAAAGAGGCTGCCGTTGTCTTGCACAACGCCATCGAATACGCGCCTACCGAACCCTTGCATCATCTAACTCTCGCCAACATTTACGCCCACTTGGGCGAGTACAACAAGTCCGTGGAGTATTACGACAATGCCATCAAGTACAATCCAGATTTGGATGTGGCCAAAAAAGCCAAACACACCATACTGTGCAACTTGAAACTCGAAAGTTCCCTAAGTGCGTTGCATCAGTAAGTAAATTTTAGTAAGCCTTATTCTGATGCGTCGAGTGATTTTGCTTACATAAAAAAAAACTCTGATTCCAGACAGTTGCTGGATATATTAAATGAACTACGTGCCTACCACAACGAACAAACTGAGTACTTGAGTCACCAAGAAAAACTTAAAGCCGGTTACCTGAAATCGCTCAACAGTATACTGTTGCATCCTCATGAGGACATTCATTACGAATCCTTGGACACGCTTTTGTCGCATTACGGCCAAGCTTGTGCCCAAAGGGGTGTCGATGACCCTGTACTGTCGTGCGACGTTACCACGGAGAAAAAGGCGATAGCTCAACAGTTGCAGCTTGACTACGGTATTAGCCTTCAGATTTTGAAAACTGTCGAAGTTCAAGCCAAAGAAATCCGTAACAAGATGATCAAGGCGAAGTTTGCGAATGGTACGACTCACGACAATTTTTTCGATCCATAAAAAATGCCACGACCTGTGTTAATTTGTTTCGACTCTTTTTTGTGTTACAGATGATTTGGAACAGTTTCATCAGCTCCCGGATTACTCCAAGTTTTCCACGGTCTTCATGAATCCAACCGACAGACCAAAGTATCATCAGTTGCAAATAAAACAGTCGAACGAGGCGTTCGAGAAAGCAGAATGGCCATCGGAATCTTATTGCAAAAGCTTGATACCGTTCGATGTTAATGTCAAGCAATACGTGCCGGTCTACTTGCCACCGGAAAACAAAGGCTATATGTGAGTAATCGTAGTTGTCAACAGTCAGTTTTTCGCGGTTTTTTTTTTTTTTTTTTTTTTTTTTTTTTTTTTTTTTTTTTTTTTTTTTTTT